CCATTTACAGAACTACTTGAAAATCAATTATGATTTTTTTTTGATACAAATCTACTTGAGAACTCATGTTTAAGCAGTGCTCGAGTCTCACTACCCATAATTCCAATCAAAACTAGAAGGCGTGGTAGCGATCGAGTTAGAGAGAAGAAAACCAAGAACACTCAAGGGCTTTGTAGGTTCTTTAGATCCTCTTCTTTAGCATACCAAGATGGTATGATCTTGGGGAGGTGAAGGTAGAGATCTTTGTAAGAGTTTCTTATAGTTCCTTCTGCAACTCACCAGAAGAGAGCCGAGAATATCAAGTTCCTGGTTAGGGATGATTCACCACTGATTGAATTCAATGATTCGCTACGCGGCCAGAAAGAAAAACCTAGAACCAACCTTTAATTGATTCCTCGAGATCATACCTTCCCTTTTAATTTTCGAAATTTATTGTTTTCCAATTTCATGCAAGTTTGGTGTCAGTCAAGTGGAGGCTGTTTTGTCCGGATTATTTAACATGTCGAATTACAATGCATACTCCTTTTAAATGGAAAGATCAATGGATTTCAACTGTGAAGTCTCTTCCATGAAACCTTCACTGTAACAAGATAAGCCTCGGTGGTTCATGAACCTTTTTGAAAGTGACAAAGAAAGAGAAACCTCCATGAAAAGTTTTTCATATATCATGGACTTTTCATAGCTTCTTTGCTCAGGGACTCTCAAATCGCGTAGAAAAAAGCAAACATGGTGTTACATTTAGGTTCGAATCGAAAGTACATATCAGATAGCAAGTGAAAGCAGTCAGAAAACTGGTCCCTTGCGTGTAAAGAAGCTTTGTTCTTAATGTAAAATGTTTTCTTTGTTTATGATATAGTTTTGCATAGACAAAAGAACACACGCATACCGAATCAAATGATAATATTACCGAAAGAACACACGCTTTCCAAATAGAATTGATATGACCAAATAGTGGCGCATCCTTATTGGTGAATTTTGGTAGGTATCATTAAATATAAAATTATTAAAATTTGANTAAAANNAAGAAAGANANTNTTTTTNGTTGAAATAATGGNNTNTATTGAAATATAAAATTAATAAAATTTGAGTAAAGAGAAGAGATAGTGGGTATTTGTAGAGAGAGAGTATCAAAAGTATCAAATAGTTGATACTTTTGAAGAGAGAAAAAGTGTGTTTTTAATAATTTTATATTTAAAGAGAGTATAAAATTAATAAAAGCTGAGTAAAAGGATGAAAGAGAAGGTATAAAGTTAAGTAAAAGGAAGAGAGAGTATATTTTTAATAATTTTATATTTAATGATACCCTCAAAAGTTCATGAATAAAGATGGCCTAACTTTCACCAATTCACGTGAAGGGACTCTAAGCACTTGATCACACCACTCAACTTTCCCCCAAGTTTCACGGCTTTTGCGTTTTTCAAGCGCAATCACCGCACACCAAATCACCTGCTCATTGAATAAACCATGATAAGGCAATTCCCTGTCCCACAAAACAGCCATCTTTCCACCATAATTAGCCAATCTAACACAAGAACATGAGTGAACTTCGGTAGTCCTACCAAACCCTTCAACTCTCCCCACATGCTTACCTCAATGTCATACCAACAGAAAACTCCGTTAGAAGAAGAAGCAGAGTACAAAACATCCTCTATCTCGCAATAAGAATCTTCCCACATCAAATGAACCACCCCTGCTTTTCCCAGCCCTCCTTCTTCGACCACGTCTCATTTCCCTTCCTTGGAATTGTAAACAACCACTTCTTGGTCAGGGGATGTTACCAAGTGGAACTTTCCGTTAATACACACGGCTTGGTCGTAAATGATGCTCTTTGTGACGCTGTAATGGATAGGCTCAGGATCCCAAATTTGCGTTTATGTGTCGAACACCTGGATTGAGTTCTTCAAGGAATTGGTATTGACATCTTTCCAGCATTCTGCTAAATATATCTTCCGATCGAGGACACTAGCAGCAAATCCCATTAGATTATCATCCCAAAAGCCAGGAGCCTTGCTCCACGTGTGAGACGGGCAATCGAGAATGGAGAGGCTATACGTGGGCCTAATGTGGGATCCGGTTTCAGCAAGGCTGTAGATACTAGAACCAACGGCCACGAGACCTGAAAAGCGCGCACCAGGAGAACTTGGGAATGGGACTCTAGCTAAAACATACCCACTTGAGTTCACCTTCTTACTGGTGTCATTGGTTAGGTTTTGATCATGTTTCCGGCAGAGGGTGAACCAGCGATATTTAGTGAAGCCCCCTAAGCACACAGAGACAACTCTCGGTGTGTCCCAAGAGTGACCGAGCCTTGTAAAGCTCAGGTGAAGCAATGAGAGACGAAAGCTCTTGGAGACGAGGGAGACTACAACCTTGAGACGCGTCCGATGCAGCTCAATAGCAAATCGTGGGGAAGGGACAGAATCGAGTTCGATTGCAGCTTAGCAGTTATCTTCGTCTCCTTTGCAAGGGGCGACATTGGCGTCGTAGCAGATGTTTTCGTCTTCGTCTTCATCATCATCATTGGGTTCAGACTTGAGAGAGCCGCAAGAATTGAAAACCCTAGCGGAATAACTCACCACAAGAGAGTTTGGGATGAATATGATTCACCATTTTGATTGATTTTATTTCCTTTTTCCCTCTCTTATTGATGCCGTTTTTGTTGCTATATTAATTAATGTAGTCAAGGCAAATTTAAAACTATAATCAGTCCACGTCATTGTTTCATTAGAGCATCTATGCCCTTCTCAACAATTTTATAATACTAAACTAATAATAAAGTTAGTTTATAACTTATTAATTATTTTTAAATTTTTGTTTCTTCCATTGGTTACAATTCCAAAGGGGTTCTCAAAAATAAAAAAATATTATTTTTTTATAATTATTTTTATAAAATTTGAAAACATACAACATTTTATAAAATCTAAATTATATTACATTTCACGAAATTTTAAAGGTAGATTTCATAAAAAATTTAAAACATAAATTTGCAAATTATTAACTACCAATTGTTGTAATCTGAGCCAAATAAAAAATGAAAAGTAGACACGAGAGCTTACGTGAGCTTGCTATTGCAAATCCTTCTTCAGCTTCCCACTAATATAATCCCATACCTGTAATATTTTTCAAGTCTGAGTAATCATGGTCACAAAAAAAACTTTAAGACTTTTAACTTGTATTATCAACATACAAATAGATTCCGCATCAACTCACCTCGATAAAACCATCAACAGAACAAGATACAAGAAACTGTCCATCTGGAGAAAATCTAGCGCATTCGGCATGACTCTTTGAACCAAACTGCATCCCGCACAAGGAACAAGATATGAAAATTAGAATAGAACTCAAACTGATGAGAAAAGCCAAAATAATTATGAACAATAGATCATACACCACTAAGCTAAACAAGCTATTAAGTTGCGGTGATGAATATGAACCTTTATTGTATGATTAAGTATAGTAGGATATGTATCTTCTACATCTTGTTTCATAGCTGCCGTCCCACGAAAGAGGTCAAACTGAGTTCCTGGAGGAAGCAGACCTGACACAAACACACAAGTGTATGTAAATTTCTAAAGTTGAGTGAGAATACATAACATGATACCAAATAGTCAAGCATAATATAGTTTCCCATACCTCATGCGGATCCAGAAAATGCTCCATCCGCAAATATCTCTCTGGTTGCTCCTGCTTCATGGCACCCATCACCTGAGTCTGCCTCAAAATAGCTCGAGCAGTGTCCAACCAATTCTCGAAGTTCTATCATCTCTAATACAATCTGAGTAAATCATCCCCAAGTGAAAAATAAATTTCCATGAGACTTAGCAATCAAGTGACAGATTATTCACTGAAAATCACTAGTTCCCAAGTGAAAAATAAATTTCCATGAGACTTAGCAAATCATATTGTGAGCAAAAACAAGTGAAAGATTCTTCATTTCTTAAACCATATGATCATAATCCCTATATCTACAATGTAACATTACCCATTTATCTTCATGGAGATTAACAAAACTAGCCCGGTCAAACAAATTAAGCGACTACAACATCTAAAATTGCTCTTCCAAATTGAAAGGAGAATGAGGTAGAAACGTACATGCTTCGCCGATGCTGTTAAAACCGCCGGCGTAGATTCCCCGTTCCGTCCACAGCATTCGCCGCCATCGCTCCAAATTCTCAAAATCCCAAATCCAATCTGATCAATTAAACAGAAAATCATCGGAACAATAATCAAATTAAGAAACTCCAAGGTTACTCAAATTCGATTGATGAAAGCCAAACAACGAACATTATCTCACCTTTTCTTCGGATGGCTCTGATGAGGAAAGGTGATGCACCGATTTCTCTGTCAAAATCGCCAACAGAGACAGATCGAGGTAAGGTATAATTGGTGAAAGTTTTAACTTTTTTTGATTGAAAATTGTTATTAGTTCCACAATCACCATCTGTTTTTCCATATTATCCCACGTGTCAAAAACTTATTGGCTGTTACAGTGTTGTAAAAGAAACGAGTCGGTGATAGAGTAAACTTGCTCCGATCTCGGC